GGGTGTACAGGCATAAGATGCGGACGCAGAAATGGAGCAATGTCACACTGCGACAAGTTGGGATAAACAAGGCATATCATGATTGATGGGGAATTGTACTCAAAGAAAAGTTCCACCTTGGCACCACTAAGCAGAACTCAGACACGGAGTTTCCAGACTCTCCCACATCGCCCTCCCAGCCCCCCAAAAAATGCCCGGAGGTGAGCAGAAAATGGAGCAGCTGGCCCCTTCCTCAAACAGTGAGACAGTTTAGGGTTGGGTTCAGAGTGCAGGGGTCAGGTTCAGTTTGGTTTCAGGGCCGGATTTGAGGAGATGAATTTGGCAGGATTGTGATCACTTCCAGGTGTTTTTGGGATTCCTTCAACGCTCCTGAGCAGCGGTGTTGTGAAATTTCTTCCCTCCGGCTCGGCGTTGACACTTTGAAGCTTGATCTGGGGCCGAAAAGTTGAAGGGCTAATGTTGTGGACCCAACATGACCCAACAATTCAGAAGACTTATAGCTGTGCCAATTTGGACACGTGTCCATCTTAAGCTCCGGAACCCAGTGTATTTTACACAGTAAGTGCGACAGTGTCCAGGCTTGCTCCTGACTCCGCAACATACAGCCTGATGACACGCATGGGGTAGTAATTGCTTTTGTGGGCATTCTCATCCGTCATGGCAGCAAGCGCAACAGCAAACCCTGGAGCCACGCTGAGGTGGAGAATGAAAGGAGCCAGCGGTCTGCGGCACTGGCCGAGATCAGGCAGCTGCCCCTCAAGTTTAACATCATTGTGGTGGTGAAGGGGCAGGGAAATGGTCGGGGAGGTATACCCATGGGCATAACTCGGCACATCGCTGGGTTTGCGACTTAGTGTCTTGGAGTGGGGGCTTATGGCTTGCCCTTCTGCCACAAGCATCTGGGCAAACCTTGCATTCTAGCGGAGCTAAGGAGTGCAAGCCGCTAGCCCCAGTGCCAGCCGTAGCCCTGAAACCTCATCAGGTGCGACTAAATTGTGTCAGCAGGACAGTCCAAACACGCTCATCACCTTAAACTCTCCAGTCCCCATGCCTGGAGGCGAGAGGCCGACAGTCAGGGTACAGAACTGTCAGAAGTCATCCGGCCTTGATCTTGGCTTCTTTCTCGTTGTCATACATTCAGGGTTCCCTGGCTGGGACAAACAGCATGAAGAGACGCATCTACATCAGTATACGTGTTATTTCAGAAAGTTTGGCGGGCACAGGTTTGACGACCTGGCAGTCCCCAGAAGATACATACCTTAGATGGAGTCAGTTTTTTGTCTTCAACATGAAGTGCCCCCCACCCCCCCCACACACGAGGATCCTGCAAATGGTGGCGTTTGCATACCGCCAGCACAGCTCTAGAATTTATGCATATTAACGCCATACACAATCTTGCAAGAGCTGACGGTGCGGATGCGACGATTATTTTGTTTGGGACAGCAAGCGGTTCGCACCTAAACGTTTCCCGCGACCCAATTTGGGCGAATGACTCTCGACAGCCGACCATGTGACTTCCTGTAATGTGAGGTTCATTTTAACCCACCCGCCCAGAGTCCAGGGCGGACCAATCTCGAAACCAAGGTTGGAAAATGGGGGTCGTCATAAAAGACTCTGGGGCCTCAGCTCTTTCAGATGGGTCCTCGTAAGTTTGGTAATAGCCTACTAGCTAGCCGTAGCGCTATCTGCTCTGGGCTGGCTTGGTTAAGAAGCGCAATAGAGGCTCAATTTCAGCTTTGATTGCAATTGAGAGTGCGAGGGGGCTATGGCGAGAAGTCTTGGCACTTAGAAACGGGTAGGAATTTTGGGTCGTTTCTGCTAGCTTGCCATTCTTGCACCCCTCTTTCTGAGGGATCCCTCCCATCCTTCCCATCTCCGGCCAAAATCCATTTAGTTCCAGGTCTCAGCAGGATTTCAAGGACCAGCTGACTTCCCTGCAGGCTTCGAGCTTAAGACGCATGAGAAGCCCAGGGCTGGTGGTTGCGCATCTCTCCAGCAGCCTTCTAAACCACTACGGAGCTCTGAGGCATGCAGTGAGGGCTACTCCCCAGTAAGCTCCCCACTTGTAGTGGGCTTCTGTGTATGTGGTTCAGGGCTAACAACCAAACTTCAGGAAGTACGGCTTGCGTCTGACAGTGGGTGGTGTGCCGAGGTGGGAATCGCACTTGGAACTGAGGGTTCAACCCCACACCACTGCTGAAGAACTTGCTAGCATGTCGCCGTGACACGCAGGCCTCCACATACATGGGACGGATCCTCACGGGCCGTTTTTCGTGGCAATGTTAGGGTGGACAGGCGGTGCTGGCAGCTGCTGTCCAAGTTGTACTGCCCCTGTACCCTTCTCTTGCCTCCATAGGTGACGGATTGGCAATGGCTAGTGTGGTTCTTTTTCCCAAGGGCCATCTAAACTGCAAAGTCGCTGCCGACGATGCTAGACATGCAAAGTAAGATAAAACACGGCGATCGGCTTGTTGCTTCATGATACAATGTCCTATCAGTGTTTTTTCTGCATTAACATCTTGACTGCAACCCTATGAGTTGTTGAAGTAGCTACAGTCTCCCCCTGTTCTTGCCACCAAGCCTGTCCTTTGATTGAACGTTCAGCCTCAAACCTCAAGGCTGAAACCTTGAAACCAAAACCTCAAGCGCAACACCCTAATAAGTTTCCATTTTCCATTATCCCTATATAACCCCCTACATAACCCCTAAAGTATATCCTATTATCATATAGTAGTTTCCATGTTATTTTCCATTTTCTTTTCCATTATCCCTATATAAACCCCTATACAACCCCTAAAATACACCCTATTATCATATGATAGTTTCCATTTTCTTTTCCATTATCCCTGTATAACCCCCTACATAACCCCTAAAATATACCCGTTTAATCACATAGTAGTTTCCATGTTCTTTTCCATTATCCCCATATAACCCCAACATAAACCCTAAACCTTAAACCCTAAACCCTAAAACCTTTAACCTTGAACCCTAAACCCTTCCATTATCCCTAAACCCTAAAGTACTTTCCATTTTCTTTTCCATTATCCCTATCCTGTCTGCCAAGGCCAATCTTTGGATGCGATCGGGACCAGAGACGGAACTTTCCCAGCTCCAAAAGGAGGCTCTGTGGCATACATGGGATTATAATGGTAATATAGGGACACTACTATAATCGGCTATATAGGGGTTAGGATCCTCCCGGCTATATAGGGATAATGGAAAAGAACATGGAAACTACTATATGATAATGGGGTATATTTTGGGGTTATATAGGGGTTTATATGGGGATAATGGAAAAGAAAATGGAAACTACTATTGTAGGATATATAGGGGTATAATATTGGGGTTATATATTCGAATAATGGAAAAGAAAATGGAAACTAGTAGATTATAGTAGGGGTACAATATGGGTGGCTTTTTGGGCCCCTATTATAATACGGCACCTAATATTTAGGGTACCGAAAAAAAGGACCATAATTTTGACAACCACCCACATCACGTCTAGGATGATGCCACAGGACTCAGGAACGTTCAAAATTGTTCAAGTGGTCCAGAAGTTTAGACCTTGACATGCGTTAGTGGTATGTCGAAGATGGTATATTAAAGCGTGGAGTGCTGTCGGACCATAATAACTGTGGTAGCTGGAGTACAACCGGTAGCAGTCACAAGAGGAAGAAATTGAAAAGCACAAGCGGGACGCAGGCAACGTTGAGGACAACTACTTAACAATCTTAAGGACGATTCCGGCCACTTCATTTTGAGTGGACCTGCTTGCTCGTAACATGGGAGTACGCAAGGAAACATTCTACATCATTTTATTGTACTACATCAGGTACCTTCGGCCATGACTGACTTGAGCTTCTGAACCACACATCAGTAGGACAGCGCCAGTTCGTCCAAAATGTATCCCGGAGTGAGTCTCGCAGCTGCCTGCAAGATGCGTCCATCAGAGTCAAACATAGTTCAAGAGTACATAAGATATTGGGATCCATAAGTTCAACGAGACATAAGTAAATTGGGATCCATAATGCAGTCAAGAGCGGTTCCTTGTTCATAAGACTTTTTGCATCCCGAAAGTCTTGGACGGAAAATCGAAAGCTGCCGCTCTGAAGCCACATCTTCTCCCACAGCATTAGATGAAGGCCATCCAGGAGATTCGTGAAAGGCCCAGGCGGACATGGACAACTTAGAGATTTCTATATACAGGACCTGTCCAGCAGGTGGTTCTCCCCCGTATGTCCGCGGATGATTCCCAGAAAAATGAAGCACTGACCCACAACTCTCAGAGATAGTTCAAACCTTTGGGTTCCTTGTTTTCAGGTGCAGGAAACTCGTGAGCTTATACAGGGACTGCAGCGCGGGACCTCGCTGCTGGTTGAGGATTCAGGGTACAAGGGCTTAGAATTCAGGGTACAGGATTTAAAGTTTTAGAGTTCCCGGCAAATGATCCAGACTTCAAAGTACGGAGTATACCGCACTGTAAATCAGGATCTTGATCAAGGAGTAGCTTTGCAGGGGGTGCACGCTGAGGATGAAATGCCGGGATGAGTAGAAATCTTTGATTTCTCATGATGATTCCCTTCGACTCTCTGAACTTCTGTAGAAGTACGCGGATGACATTCCCAGACCACACGGCCCTTGCACCGGAACTTAGTTTTGCGGTACTAGGTCGACTGAAGCCCTTGCGGGCGTCTGAAAGGAAGATTGCGCTGGGGAGCTCCGTGCTAAAAACTGATGTCCAGAGTTTTGACCAAAACCGCACCCATCTTGTCTGAGCCCGCAAATCCTGAGAGGTGATGGCTCGTCCGACTTTTGCACAGATGTTGAATAACTTGGTAGGGACCCTTGTTGTGCCCTGCATGAACTCTGAAACCTTGGTAGCCTTCAGAAGTCCATAATAAGACTTGGGCCAGACAAGCTTTCGGAAGCAGCACGTGTTCAATCAGATGTACCTCGCAACCTAGATGACTTCGACGCCTAGATTGGTGAGGTCAAGACCCATGTTGGCTGAGCCGGACCGCAGCCCCGGCCCCGACAACCTCAACCTCAAGGCCAATCAATCACAGCTGTTCGGGTTAAAATGGGCAAGGCATGGATCAAGATGGGTTGGGGGAGCACGGAGTTTGGGTGGCTTTTGGTTTTTGGGCCGGTTGCAAGGTAGACTTGAGGTATAGGGTAGAAGTATGGTGATCCAGAGGCATCAACATAGGATGCTAGCAAGCATGCAAGAGTACTGTCTGGCTCGGCCCGGTTTTGAAGGTTGCGGTTGAGATAAAACTATGATTCACAATTGACCGGGCATCAGTTGAAGGCCAAGAAAAGTGGAAGCAGGCACCACTCCATTCAGAAAGTACGTCCTTTGAAGGGCGGGCATTGCTTCGTAGCCAAACATCGGAGCATACGACCTGTACTTGCATTCCGTGCCAGGCCCCATGTGGCAGTGTTCAAATGTCATCCCTGTACAGCACGCACTGTTTGAGAGGGCCTGTAGATCTGCAATTACGGTTATCTGTGTAGAGTACTGTACCAGTCAGCAAACCACCATGTTCGCAGGTGCAACAGCTGGAAGCAACCCTTGTTGACCTCCGCCGGGACGTTGTGGGATGTGCGGGCACTCAGCATTTTAGAGCAAAGGCTTCTTCAGACACTGTCGTCAAGCTGGTTCAACTGGTTATTTAGACCTGTTCTTCATCATTAGGGTGTTATGAGCTTACCTCACATGTACATTTAGATGCCAGGGTAGTTTGACCATCAGCAATTGCATTAGTGATTCGTGCGGTAGGCAGGTCGACATCATAGCACATGCTGGGAGCATCCAACTACAATAAGACGAGAAGTCACGATATTGGGGTGCATGCTGGAGAGGACTGTTTGCCATGCTTATGAGCCTATACTTTGAGTGCAAGTCCCAGCCCCCGTAGCACCACGACACCATGAATTGCAGTATCGCAAGTTCCTGATGAGCCCTAAACCATGGAGCAACATGTTAGGTATTGGCTTTGATGAGGCCACGCCCCTTACATGGGATCCCCAAAACGGACTTGCAATGTTGAACATGTCGTTTCGCCTCTCACTTGCAGTCCTCAGTCAGGTGTTGATTCGCAGGAGCAGGCATCGTTGTGAGCTGCACTGACGCCTCTGGCTTGGGAGGTTTCTCACATTTCTGGATCTGATTCTGGGCCTCGTGTTGAAATTTCCTGAGTGTGAGCACCATCTTAACCTTGAGAAGATGGTATGTTCAGTAAGCCTAAGATTGAGATAGACTGAGGGACCCATCTAGAATCTAGATATTTGGATGTAGGGCTCTTGGCGCAGCATGCAAGTTTAGCTATGCTACTCAACTGTTACATGATTCAGGTCAGCTCAAGGAGAAGTAACTCCTTGTTTTGCGTGTTCTGCAGAGCGAACATTAAAACCACCTAAGCCTTGGATAGCGAAGAATCCCACAGAGCATTCTTTCATGAGAGTTACAATAGAGACCGCCCCAACGTGAACGCAGGCCTTCAGTAGTACACCCAATAGCAAACGGTCACGTGCGACTTGAGATATCAACCTGGGCCCCTCACTGAACTCCTTCTTTACCGGTCTTTGTAGGGAATTGACATGGATTCTAGGGCTGCGCTCATGTTGTACTGTAGTTTTGCTAGAAAGCCAACAGAAGCAACGCCAACAAGTATTCAGGCTCTTTCTATGGCTCTTTTAAGATAGTCCCCCTGGCGTCCACTTTGCTTCCCATTTGACTCTCCACAATTGGGGTTATATCCCTACTGCGGGAACGCCCTGTTGTGGTGAATTTGACCATGGGCGGCAGGTGGAGAAGCTCCTTCAGTCCCTGCAAAGGGATTGCACGGAAGTCCAAGAGAAGGCCAGATTGAGGACTTGGGATTTGGGGGGTTTGAAGATTAGCTGTTCCAGAACGGTTGACTGTTTTTTTTTCTCGGATATGCGGTTGTAGGGCTTCAGGTTTGTTGGTGAGGGTCTGCCTGCACATGGCCAAAAGGCCAAAGGAAAGATAGTGATGTTGTGATCCCTCAGCCTCCTAAATCTCGATATATCGCTCTTATTGAAGTTTGCCAAGGGCTGCAGTCCCCCCAAAACGTGAAGATCTAAAATCACAACACAATCATCTTGAGAAAGCTGCAAAAGACAGAGTCCTTTCAGACAGGTCGCAAGACAGGAGGGCTCCTTTCGTGTGCATCCCTTTATTGGAAGCCATGTTTGTTAAGTCTCGCGGCACATACAGAAACCTGAGCTAGGGCGCATACCTACTATTACTATTGTTACTATTACATATAGTATTACTACTATTATTATTACTATTACTATTATTACTCTAATAATTATTATTACTATAATTACGGTTATTACTATAATTACTACTATTAGTATTCTGAATCATGGAGGTGCGTCTGCAGATGGTAGCCAGCGAGGAGCAGCGCTCACTACACCAGGCCCTTCCAGGGAGTGGATAGTAAAGACTTGCACCCTTCTCTCAACACCCAAAAGAGTAGTATTTAACCTTGGGATACTATGGTACCCAATATAGAGTAAGAATATATCCTCCTTTTGGGGTATAGTAGTTTGCATAGGGAATATAATCTTACAAGGTTCAACCACCAAAAGCGCTACTCAAAAGAGGCCTCGGGAGTTGCTACTCTTGTTGTGAAAGGAGTATGTAGGGGCATAATGCTGACTCAGCGCAGCGAAACGTTAAGGCTTCTTACCGGGTTCTGAGAGACCTTCAATTCGCGTACGCGGGGGTCGCTTGGGGCTGCTTCTGAAGGACTTAGGTTTCGTTTGGTTAGCGCAGCCACGTGGTCATGATCCTGGAATTCAACTTTTCGGGTAGCAGCCTGGACTTCAATGCTGGGTGTTCTTTCCAAAGTGAAGGGAGATCGTGGGACGTATCCTGGAAGTGCTGTCACGGGCGGGGAGTGAATTGTCACTCGATGGGTGGAAGGGAGCTTGTTGTCAGATGCGAAATACGATGCTGCCGACTACCAACCTAATCGGCTGCAAGAACTACGCTTCAAAAAGCACTGCTCTCTGAAAGCAACATGGAACCCGAAAAGTGCCATGTAAAGGCCACTGTCATTTTCATGGTAAACGTATGTTGTTCCTTAAAAACCATACGCCTACACTGAATAAGCCCTTTTTGGAAAACCTCAGTTCCAAACATCGCAAGCTCTAAACCAATCCTCCAAAACCTGCCATGATCCGCATCTAACCTAATTTGTACACATCATAGGCGTGCAGTGCGTGATAGAATTTGGGTACTGCCTCCTCAGCAACAGTTGGATAATATTTATACTATGGTTATATATAGCCCTTAATAGGACCCCAAATATCGACTGTTACTGGGTGGGGGCAGTACCCAAGATAGAATCATCCCCAACCAACCACATCATAAGCACGCAGGTCATCTCCCAGAGTGCTGGAGATCTTGGCCGCGGCATTGAGGAGGTGTTGGTACCTGAGTGACACAGAAGTCCCAAACGAGTCAAACCGAGTTTTATGTCTAAATGTGGGGGGGGGGTTAGTCGGACAAGGGAATGTATTACATAGGGATTCCCTATATATATATATGTATATATATATATGTGTGTGTATGTACATTTCCCTTATTCACTACTAACCACCAGTAAATCATGGTCACCAGGTTCAGACTTGGGGAATATTTCATGCCCAAAACTATTCTGTACATGGTTACGGCGTCCCTTTCCAAGACATGCTATATATGAAGCTTCTTGTAAATGCCCCATGCCTCCAGACCAGAATCTTTCAAAACTTACCCCGTTATATAGCCCCAAATCCTTGAACCCACACACTTCATTCTCCCCAGACAGTTTCTACAAGCGCAGCAGACTCCCGACCGTACAGCCCCCTTTCTCAAGGTCTGCGGCGATGATGCAGGCCGAGACGAACATGCGGCAGGAGACACCCTGACCCCCAAGAATGGTGGATCTGATACTTGGAAATCAACTAGGGATCATATGGCATGGCAGGCTAGCTTTTGGGAAGAGATATAGCATTGATTGGCAAATTTTGGGAAAAAGTGTTTGGCTTCTCTGGTGCACCATGGATCTCTTCTCGATTCCTTAATAGTCTGGCAATGCCTATTCAAAGGGTACTCGCCCAAGTGGGACCTTTATGATTCTCGAAGCCCTGTTAGATGGTGCTAGCCTAAGGCGGACCCTGGCACAAACTTGTGGGTGGTTGTCAAAATTATGGTCCCTTTTAGGATCCCGATTATAATACGGCACCTAATATTTAGGGTACCCACAAAGGGACCACGATTTTGACAACCAGCCATGTACCTCGAAGCCTTGACCTCCGAGCCCCCCAATCACTAAGCAAAGCCTTCACTTAGACAAACATGAGTACCAATATGAGCTATAGTCTAAACTCCTTCAAGGGATTTGATATAGGGGATTATATAGGGGACTACTATAGGGGTTATTAAGGGGGATACTAGGAGTTTAGACAGTAGCTCATATAACTTGGCAAACAGGACATGCAGAAGAGTGATCGGGAGATACGGGTTTTGCCCTCGGCCAGTGGAGAGCTCCAACATAGCAAGACCTTCAAGGGATTTTGTGAGTTTTGTTTACCAAGGGATGTGCGGCCCAGACTTATCACCTAATTAACGAATGAATATACCTTAAGTCATATCAGGGATCCTCATAGTATTTAAGGTATGTTCCTTGATGAAGGCGTATTGGGAGTTGCTAGACCCGTATCCAGCTGCTTCGGGAGATGTTCTCGGCCTACAAGATGTCAAGTAGGCCCGGCAAGACGTCCAAGGCACCTAGGTAGTACCCGCAGGATTGTCTCTAGGCCCAGAAGCGTGGCCTGCGATGGTCATATTCACACGCCAGTGATACGCGAGCCCTAAAACCTAAGGCCTAAACCCAACCCTACCCAACTCCCCTCTTTGTGGTCCCCACCGTTCTGAGGCCGAGGTCTTTGAGGATGGGAGCCTGCCTGTTTTAGCTGAGGTCTGTCATGATCTTGGATTTTAGACTCATAGTCGGGCATGTTGGCGGGACTCTTGGGAGATTTCGATTCAAAGATCCTCTCATGGCGTCTGAATTCGCTGAGCTTCTCAGGTTTTTCTTGGCAGGGTAGCTCCCAACCGTGGTATCCAGAATGCTGCAACTCAGAAAATCTAGATTGTTCTTCATGAGCTTCCTGAAAGGATACGGGGCTTTCTCGAAGTAGGACCATTATGGGGGCTCCCTAGCAAGGGTTCTTTTGGAGCAGGATTGAGGAATTTTGCATGTAGCGAACTGTGTTGAGCTGCTTGTCCAAACCGTTTCCCCCAACTTTTATCCCATCATATGCGTTAGAGTCGCTCCGTGCTGCAAACCCGAATGAAGTAGCACATAGTGTCTTGCTGAAGTTAGACCCTAAAACCAGCTGAAGGCGTGTATGAAATGACGCCGGGTGCAGCCATTTGGAGTCAATCTCAGAGCGCTTCCTCCTTGTCCCCCCGGGGCGATTTTGCTGCAGGACCTGAGCTTTGTTGGGATCTGCCACATTATCAGTCTACCATGAGAGTAAAGGGTCGAGGATATTTGCAAGATTCCAATCATGCACAGTACTGCTACTCAACGGTTCCTTGCCTCTTGAGAGAGTGGCCCAGGGCTAGGTAACCACGCCATGGTGTCCGTCTTTCTGGAGGCTCATCAAATAATTCCATTATCCCTATATAACCCCTATACCCTATTATCCTACAGTAGTTTCCATTGTCTTTTCCATTAATTATAGACCCACTATATACACCCATTAACAATCCCCCAGGCCCCAGGCTGGAGTTGGACTTTCTTTGGCTGTGCCGTCGTGGTACTCAGATGGTGTTCTCCAAAATAATGGTGTTGTGTTGCGCGTTTTGGCGGCTGGAGGGCTATGTGTTCTAGGGGAGGATAAGGCAGGACCGTGGTTCTGAGGAAGCTTGGTGTTTTGAAGCTGTGGCCTGTTTGCAGTTGCATTGGCCAGCAACTTCCCCCCCCCCCCGATCCCTAAACTGTCCGGAGAGCGCGTACTGTAGAGGCCTAGATAATTACTAATTAATTTGGGGGTATTACCCCCAATAAAGGAGAATCACACGGATAAGAAGATGGAACATGAAATGGAAAATTCGGGATTAAAAAACAGGTTTTCCAGGCATAATTACCAATACTATGGCATAGGTTCCTTGTATAACTATGGTATAAGGTACAGTACCCCAAATAGACCCTAAGATTGGGCTGGTATTTGTTCGGACCCTACAGCACTTCTGACTTCGGTCAGTAGCTTTGTATTTTGACAGCAAGAACCCTCTTCCCTAAGCCCCCAAACTCCAAACAACACTGAATCCTAAACACCCCCAAATCCCAAAACCTAAACCCCAAACCCTAAACCACAAAATCCAAAGCCTAAACCCCGAAACCTACACCTGAATGTACCATGTGCCAGGCCCCCAACGTGTTATCCCACGGGGGCCACCGAATTTGAAGGACCAAGTACTCCCCCTAAGCCCTAAACCCAAGTAATCAAAAGCAATCCCTATAGCCTTGATTTCCCTTCATAGTTCCTCACTGCACCTTTTTGGTACCTTAACCTGGGGGGGTCAAGTTTGGGGGGCGCCCTTGGAATCCTATGATCTATAGCCCAAGCTTTTCTGGTCAGATGTCAGATACCAGAGACTAGGATGGCGCCGATGCCAGAGGCTGCCATGTTACTTGGCAGGAGTATGTAGATCTCATCAGCTATAGGGCGTGGGGGGCTGGGCTGTTGTAAACACTGACTGCAGCGCGAGAACGTGCTGCCATGTAACTCAGAAGTTGAAAGCTCTGTTTCTTAGTATTAAGGCTCAGTTATTTGAAAGCACGGGGTGCCACCAAGTAAGCGAGAGGCCGATTGAGGCCCACATTCCAGAAGTTGGGGTTGAGGTTGGGACGCTGGACTCTCTCATCCTAGCTTGCCATGATAATCTTCCGAAGTGACCTATAATCCTTCAGAACTCATGGTGTCTTCCTGTGATCTGTATGTGTGCCCCTCCTTTGAGAACCTCCTGGTCCCTTGCTCAGGCACTGCTTCCCTCTATGGGGGTACGAAACAAAGCAAGCTCTGGATTGGATATACTGTGAATGCTAAAAATCCTTGATCCTGACTACCCCGGAAGAATCGGAATTATGGCAACTTAATATCATATGGATGCTGGATTGATGTCATTAACCGGAGTCCCATAAGAGACCCCATCTAGGTGCTTTGCAAGATGTGAAACGAATAAAACCAAAGTCATCCCAAAGCCCGCTTGGTTGTACAGATTACTGTCTCATGCTGGGCTACTGGGCTTCTAGTGCCTTAGGAAATCTTCAATTCTGGAATCTTGCACACGGAAGAAAAAGCTGCTGAGGAAAATGCTGCTGGTGCGGCCAGCGGTTCCATGGCAAATTCAAATTTTCAAGAACTACAAAAGCATAGGGTTTAGGGCCCAACCCCCAAAATTAGGACCCTATGACTATCATATGATGGTTAAACCTAAACCCTAAACCCTAAACCCTATGGGGCGCCGGAGATGCAAGGGATTGGGTAAAATTTCAGGAGATGAAGGGCTGCTCCTCAAGGGTTCTCCCGCCTAGTTACGGAATTGCGGTCTGAGAAGGGCTTGGTAAAAAATGGGTTTGCCCAGGGAAAAGTTAAAGTCAAAGTATCAGAAGTTAAACTTACCCTTGAACACCCAGCTGCAAGTCAAGCTTTCGGACGAATCCGCAGCCTGAATCCCCTTCAAGCCCTAGATCTTCCTCTGTATCCCTGTACATCCCTACAGCCCCACCTGAATCCAGAAGCTGAAGTCGAGGTGCCTGCACCTTTGGACCCAAACTTTGCGCCGCTGATCTTGGGCAAGCGAAACTACCTGAAGGCCTGAGATTTTTGAGAGACTAAAAATGGGCCGGGCGCAGTTAGGGTAGACAAAGGAGGTGCTTGTGATTGTGCTGGCAGTTGGAGTCTCCCCGCCTCTCACACTTCTCAAGAGGTTGTTCTCAAGAGGTTTTTGCAGTGTTGGCATCTTTCAGAAATGGTTCTCTTTCTATGTGTTTCAAGCGACGGTATGACTTACGGACCATGCAGTGCGCGGCTTGGGACTGACCCCGGGTGCCGTAGGGCGCCCTAGAGCCGGTAGAAGAAGAAGAAGAAGAGACAGAGAGGGAGAGAGAGAGACAGAGGGGGAGGACCCCAATCCCAATACATTGCAATGTTTTGTTGTTATTGAGACCACCAGAACGGGAAACCCAATTTTTGAGAGCCCCGTGTAGGCTTGGTAGTACGTTGAAAGAGCTCCCATACGTTTAAGAATTCCCCTCTAGCAAGTCCAGGCAGTCGCTGCCAGCGGAAGCAAAGCCACATTAGACGCTGAGCTGATTTGGGCGCTTTAGAGCTTAACTTTTCAGGGTGCCAGAAAAGACTAGAAAGAATAGGTGGACAGAGCATCAAGGATCCTTGGCCTATTTTTTTGGCGTGTGAGTTTTCAGCAAGCCTTCTTGCATAGAAACATGGGAATTCAATATGTCAATGCCGCAAGTAGCAGCCACTTTTGGGTTGTGATGTTAAGAAGCGATATTCGGTGAAGCTCCTTTTCAGCAAAGCTTTTGTGTGCCTTGGAGATAAGTAGGCTTGCCGACACGGTCCTAGATTCTGCAGCGTGTGACCATTTGTCGCAGCGAGATGAATGGTGTTGTTGGGTTCCTCCTTAACGTCATTATTCATGCTGAAGGAGTTGGCCGCCGCTGGACAGATTTAGAGCGCCATATGTCCAGTTCTCCCCCGCCCCCAACCTACACATGGGCTGGACGCAAGTATTCATGATGCGAACATACTGCCTCAACCTTCACAGGCGCTTGCAAATGTCATCTTAGTGGATTCTAAATCAAGAAACGTTGATCTGTAGGGTGTTTCCAACCTCGCTGGGAGTCCTGACGTCACTTGAGATGGAACATCGATGTCTCATTACCCAGACTTCAACTTAACCTGCGTTGGTTGGGTTGCCCCTTGGAATCCTCGAGCTTGCCTGATTGCAGTGTTTGAAAACCTACATTACATGGACGTGCATACATGACAAGCTATTGTAGCACGGATTTGAAGGACTGGGCACTTCCCAGGGCAGATGGCTGTGCGCGTCGCTCGGCAAGTCTTGCAGCCATCTTGCCAGCCCGCACGCGATCATGACTTGCGATCTGTTGTTTAGTACCGTTCTAGATGTTCTTTTACCACCACTGCACCGTGCGCGGATGCTAAAATTGCTTGAAGATGGCCAGTTCAAAGCACCCTTCACCTGTACCCAACATGTGCAGTTGCCTGCAGGTTACACGCTGCCGGTCTTCCCAGATGAGCCTTGAATGAAGAGTCTACATGGCTCTGTGTTCACATTAATGTTTCTGCTGATTTCCAAAGTAACAGGCAACTTGCAGATACCTACAGTGCGAATAGATGAACAAGGCGAACATTTTTTTGCGCCATGCCACATGAACGCTTCAAAGTCAAAGGCTTTCACAGTAGCTGTGAGGACCATTGGTCCTTATCCTGGGGCTTCCGAATGCTCTCCTGGGGCCACTTTTGCATGTGGTGAGCATGTGGTGACAGCTTATCTGGGACCCTTCTTCTCTTGAATTAGCATTCATCTGCTTCCATACTGCGCACGCCCAGTGGCCGCGAAGGCACTTAAGCTACAGCCCTCTCTGGACAGATGGCACAAGGGTACTCCGAACACGTATGGTTGAACCCCACATCCTGTCTACTTCCTGAGAACGATAGGCTCCCCTTAAATCCTTGTAAATACCTGCAGGCAGATAGTTCCATTGCGTATCGCATGCAGCAGGATTCCTGGAAAGAAGCGGGATCCCTCCACTCCATGAAGTAGCGAAGTAAACAGCCCAAGCCACAGTTTCTAGAGATGATGCTTCCGTTTTATGGCATCAGTCGTTCATTTGTCAGCTTGTAAGGCATGGCATAACCCGGCTGGTTTTTTTGCAAAATTTAGAGATCCCCCTGGCTACGCCCGAACTACAGGAATAATTGCATTAGAAGTTCTTTCAGCATGTCCCCAAGTAAGCCTGCCAAGGACAGTGCAGAGGTCGAAGCCTCCATTTACCTTGCAGGGGTCCTCATCCAAGAGCAGACTCCTGATCTCAGATTCGGCGGGTTTCCAAAATTTTGGTGGGGAAGCTTGGGGCGGGAACCATGCAGGTATCCACGTATTGTATACTTATATGTATGTGTGTGTGTATATTTACATGTCATGCAATCGGTATCATTCAATGCGCAAAGGAATCTGGTCGTAAAATCAAGCCGGGCTCGTATTATGCGTGCATGCTGGAGAAATCAGTGTCTCAACACTTTGTGTTGGATCCTGATACAGTTAGGAGGACTGGTTTCTCGAATTCTGTAGGGGACAAGATCTAGGGTGCATGATGTGAGACCACTAATTTTTAGACGCAAAATTTCTGTGACTGATCAGCCCAGACTTCCGTAAAGAATTCACTCTAAACCTAATATGCCCTAGGTAACCACTATTAGGGACCATATACCCTTGTTTAAGGGTACAGGAGGCCCCTGGAACTGGCCTGGATCCTAGCGAGAGTTTGTGCAAGGATTTGGCAGCGAAGCGCGAAATCACTGCTGCTGTGCGGACCAGCGAAGATATGCGAGGCTTTGCACTTGGAAGTTCCCGAACCACATCGTTTTCCTCAAAAGTCTTCAAGACTTGGATACCTCTGAGTGTAACGTAGTACCTGCACATTAGGTGCAGCGAGATTTTAATGCTGTGAAGGAAGCCTGTGCAAGGACGGGCATTGCTTTGGCATACAGTTTGTCAAGATCCAGATGGGATGTTCAGGGCTTGTTTCCTCATCTTAGCTTCTGCACAGAGAGCTGCTGGGTTTTCTTTTCTGCCTTCTTCCCCTAAAGTTAAACAAATACTTCCATGGAAGATCGAGGTGTTTGATGTTTTGGGGAGGGGTGTTGGATCTCGGAGAACAGGGGTGCACATGGGGCACTTGCCATGTACATGTGCGGTTATGCCCAGAATCGAGCGTTCAGGTTTGTGGACTCGGGCGGGGATTGGGGTCAGTTCTCCGCTTGGAAAGCATTCATGACTTTGTATCAGCGCTGAACCTGTAGCTTTATTTCCTGTAAGCTAGAAGACAGTCTTAATGACCACAGAGAGTTCTGAGAAGGTAGCCAAGTTCTTACTCTTATAAGGTTGGGAGCTATGTTCATTTGTAAGTTTCTGAACCTACAGAGTCTCCCAGGCAGTACATGCTTCTAAGCTACTTAAGTCACTCTTGCCGCATGCATCCTTGCCATTTTCCTGGAAGCTTACAGTCTGTTAGTTTGGCCTTACATGCCGGACTTTGTCCTGCATAGTTTGCGTCTCACAGCAGGGGGCCCTCAGAATGCAGCGCCGAGAAGAAGAGAGACAGAAAGAACTAGAAGCTTTTCTGAACACTCTGTTCTGGAGAGAGGCTCATGAGAAAACGTTGCAAGCCCATGCCCTCACACGCAAACAGTGCTCCTGTTGGTTTCTTAAGGCCGCAGACCATCCCAGTGGCTTTTTTGACGACTCACTTTAAACTCTCGGGCACAGACCCCACGATGCCCCCCCTGCTTGCTTGACAAAAGGCACTGAAGAAGGAGTATTCCATGGGCGGCACTTACGAATTCGAAGTCAAGTCGATGCCCAACGTGTGCCTGGGAGACTGTTGGATTGGTGGCTTTGAGATGCTTGATGCATGTAGGCTTGCTGAAGGATCAGGGCTCGCTTTTCCCTTCCAGTAATTCTAGTAGGCAAGCTACCAGGCTACCCTTGAATCAGCAAATTGTCCATATCGGTGAAGGGAAGCAGCCTTCTGTATTCCTTGAGGGCCTGGAAAATCCTAGGTGCTGCAAAGCATGACAAGTACCTTCAGCCAATTCCCCCCGATACCTCTCTGACTGAAGTACTCGGGTCCTCAATGTACAGACCCAGAATGGGACCTAACAAAGTCACACAATCGTCTGTGGTTCCAAGGTGTGGGACTCCCGATGTTGCGTTCTCCGTGGCGGTTGTCGCCAGCGCCGTCGCAACGCTGAGATAGCGACACAGGGTCATGAGCGTTGCACAAACTTTGTGTGTCTTTCAAGGATTGCCAGGTCAGAATGTAAGCATTTTGGGTATGTGGCCAGTCTTTGAACCCTGATTATTTCCAGGTTCCAGGAGCCGGCTAGTACGAGGATTCTTGGCAATGCGTGGTTTGCTGCCCTGAGCTCCTTATGATCCATCTCAAAGCAGGGCGAACACAGAGATTTTCTGTAACAACTCTCTTATCAGCCTTTGCACACACACCGCGCGCAAAGGGGTAGCAGAGGGAATCCTAAGGGAGATATGCGCCCCAGGCCGAACTTCCCGCAGCAAGCGACACGCCGCAGGTGCCGAATATGGGCCATGATTGTCTCATAGTCTCAGCACATGCTTACGGATCATGGGTCATAGGTGTCGATGGTGCGCAAGTTGCCGACGTAAGACCTGGGTTCGGGACAAGTTCTAGGGCATCGGCATTTGGTCGTTCAGGACTTTCTGTTTCTCTTGGGGCCTGGAAGCTCTTGAATTTGAAGTAGGTTTCCCTAGCCTGGTGCCGTCCCTTAACAAAGCACGCAGCGGTGGCAATCCTTTCCTTGCAGCCTTGCAAGTCTTTGGGTTGCAGAAGTCCTTGATACCAGGATTAGTATGCCTGCATAAGATTAGTCTGGCAATGCTTGCTTGGAGGGAGGCGGTTTCAATGATTACCATGAGGGGATTTGAACACAAGAACAGTCGTCACCGTCATTCGAACCCTCGTTATCATGTCTACCCAAACTTGATGATTAGTGTGCCATTCTCTTACTTGAGATCGAGGCTCCATCATTGGGTTAATATCCCTACAGAACCCCTAAACCTTAAACCGAAAACCCCTAAACAACTAAACCCCTAAACCCTATACCTCTAAACCCCTAAACCCTACACCCCTACACCCTAAACCCCTATATTTCCATAACCCATCCCAAAATAACTCCTGCGCCAGGTCTGTGGGAAGGATGCCAGCGGCTGCCGGTTAGCCTTTGACCTGGGCAAAAGCGACATCAAGATGCTGGGCTTAGGGTTTAGGGTTAGGGTTTAGGGTTTGGATTTTGGGTTTTGGTTTAGGGTTAATGGTTGATTGTTCAGGTTTAGGGTTTGCTGTTTGGGTCAGGGGTTCAGGAGTTTGAGTTGTGGTTTAGGATGTTGGGTTTAGGGCTTAGGGTTAAGAGTTTCAAAGCTTCGGTGGTTCACGAACTAACAGTGATATCAGCGCATGTGTCCTATACCGATGGAATTGCGAATTCTAGGGGTTTCTAAGTGATGCAAGATTTCCTCCATCCACAGATGAGATCATGGAAACAATATGAGGGTCCCTATGCATTGCTCTTATACCTCCCTGAGTGGCAGGACAGGCCCGCTCATTTTCAAGATCTAACATCCTCCTGGGGCTAAGCTTTGTGTAACGCTTGGGTTACTGAGAGCTCAGGGAACTACCTTTGAAGGACTATATACGTAGGGTTGTTGAGTCGCTAACGGAATAGGACACAGCTTGAGCCGTTGCGTGAAGAAAGGAATATCTGCAGAGATTTCAGGGTAATCATACGCGTTTTCCACGGCTTGAACCCTTCAGCTGATGCAAGGCTTCTCAAGGATCATGTAGGGATAGTGGGGGGCTTGGGCTCACAGCTTGTGCGCAACCGTTCAGGGTTGCGCGCTTGCAGGGATCCCGATACAAGGTTCGGTTTGGAGTCCGGACCGCCACCGGATATTATCGCAAATCTGTGCCGGCTATGAAAGGCATGGCTACCCGCGCCGAATTTCAACGGAGTTCTTCGAAGCAGACGCACATCAAGGCACTGGCGAAAGCGGCTGACGTCCAAATCGTAGTGGGGGCCGCGAAAACTGAAAGTCCAAGTTGAAGGCCCAAAGCGGAGTGTACTTGATTGTGGACAGGAAAATGATACCATCTGACTCCTTCTCCCTCTTGCTCCTTCCCCCCCTTTGCAACCACTACGAGGATGGCAGCTACGACTACTGACTACCGTGCTACCTGTTCTGTTTCTTCGTGCCACTCCTATTCGGAACAACTGCCTGTAAGATCCGGTGCTAAGGACTGTGGCGGTGAAAGACAATGAGGTGGTTTACTCGTGACTGGGGCAGAGTTTGGAGGGCATGAAAAGTAGAGTGAATATATCTTCGTAGTTTGTTTAAGCTTTGTTCTGCGATTATCACGGCAAGAAAAACAACTGAAGATATGAAGTAGTTTCACAAGGTCCTACAAAAAATACATTCTCAAATTCCGCTCCCAGCTTATCCTGATATAGCGGCATGAGGTCTAAATGGGATCGCGTGGTTGCGCATGGTTTCAGTGCAGCAGGAGGAAGAGTCGTCATCATCGTCGTGGTAGTTGCGCCGATGTGGGGCCGCTGCTCTGCTGCTGCTGCTGCTGCTGCTGCTGCTGCTGGCGGTGGTGGTGGTGGTAAGTGGTGGCGGTGGAGGTGAGGTGGAAGTCTACTCACGCATGGCAGCGGTAAAAGTGTAGCAGCAGCAGCAGCAGCAGCAGCAGCAGCCGCAGCGGTAGTGACAGCATGAGGATGAACCATCTCCCTTACAGCCAGACAGGCAACCAGTGTCAAGTCCTGAGTATGTCTCTTTGTTTGATGGCCGCCTGAACATGAGAAAGGGATGCAATCCTGAAGCGCCTCGGATAACAGCAAGGAAAGAGACTGAATGGGACGTCACAAATGTGGATCCTGACTACCACTTCAAGGCAATCGTCGACGCGCTGAAGTTGGCAAAGGACCAGGGGTTGTGACGCAGCTGTCATGATCGAGGTTTAGATTTTAGAGTTTTGAGTCTAGGGCTTAGGGTTCGGCGCTGTGTGTAGGGTTCAGAACTCTTTAGCAACAGAATGGGATATTGCATGCTGTGCTAGGCTTTGGAGAGACTTTGTGCAGTCTATGCGGACACAGATATGTCCGCTTCCCCGTCAGGAGAAGCTGCCGAAGGTCCAGGCCATAGGCAGGACTTCTTCGATTTCAAAGTTGTTCCAGGTCCGGTTCAATTGGGGCCCTGAAGTGATTGCATAGCAGGATTGCGAATTGATCGCCGTTACAGACACTGGTTTTCATAGTCCAAAAACAGTGCGCCAACATCATAGCAGTGAGGCGGATGGAAATTCACAACAACTCAAAATCTTAGCACTCGTGCAGGTGGCAGCGCGACAGGGACAGTTGGTGCAAACAATGAGGCTACCTGGTGCGCCTTGGCAGGAGTTGTCGAAATATTGGTCCTTTCTGAGCTATATATGAGCCATAGTCTAAACTCCTAGTATCCCCCTTAATATCCCCTATAGTAGTCCCCTATATAACCCCCTTTAAGGAGTTTAGACTATGGTACATATAGAAGTTATTCAAATTTCTTATAGGCTATCATTGCTTCGGGATTGGAAGCGTTGCGCAGGGATTGTTAGAGTGGGTTTGGTTTGCTTCTAATAGCAGAGCCATACCCAAAAGTGTTTTTGTTGATGTTGATGTAGACCTGGTCTGTCCAGATGACCACTTCGTGGAGGCGGGTGTGGGTCTCTGAAGGTTGCAAGTCCTTGCATCTCCTGCCCTCTACACTAGGCAGACATGCAGAAGAATATGTAGCAATCCAGCACGTCACACCCAGATATATATTCCCGTGCTAGATTGCATGAGTCTTGTGCCCCAGTAGCGTAGCGAGAGAAAGTTTGCATCGAAGCTGTGGCTAGGCTGTTATTCCTGGCTTCTGGATGGTTCGCCTCATTCAAGATGATGCATGCCTTGTACACGGGGTCGGCTCTTGAAACAGAGGCCATAGCCGCAGATGCAAGACCAGCAACTATCAATGGGCATCCCTTAAGCCCTGTAGCCACATAGCTGAGAGGAAACTCCATACAGATTCCCATGTGCCATTCCCTCCTCCCAGGCGACATCTTCCCCAATGTTCCACCGCCGGTCTACAAGGACTGCGCATCTTTCACGCTGGCAGAGCGGTAAGCAGGTTGTTCGTTGACATGGCTACCTGTCCTGAGGGTGCCGCTTCATGCTAAATCTTTCGGAGCCCTTTCGTCTCTCACACGTCTTGTCTAAGACGAATGCACGCTGCCTCCATGCTCATGCTGAGGATCCATGCTGAAGGATGAATTCACAGCATCAGCGCTCCCAATTCCCATCCCCCACAACACCCCTTCCCCATGCGAGTCTTGCGCAGACCTTTATCATGCAGCTATGCAACATTGGGTGGAGATGTATAAGTCCTTGATGTGCTCGCCTCAAGTATGGCCGAATTTGCCACCCGAACCGGGTGTCATGAAAAGGCTCGTTTGACACTTAAAGATTAACCTGCGCAAGCATCGAGGTGGGTGATCTACTATACTGTATACCCCCTGAAACAAATCACGGTAACCCTAGGGTAGCCCTTCACAGGCTACTCAACTCCAAACAGATGTCACCTACAAGGCCAAAGTGGTGGACATCTTCCAGCGGATCTCAAAAGAGTTGGCTGGTGATGTGCCCCTGAAGGTCATCAACGATGGTGAGGTGGGGCAAGGGCGATTTGGGATGCAGTTCAGTTTTAAGCAGGAAGGGTCTTTCTAAAACCTGGTACGACTCATGGAAAAGAAGCCCAGACAGCATCTGCGAAGAAACAGAAGATGTGGGTGGAGCTTGTTAATCTTGACACCGGGACTTGCACCCCGGATGTTTTATTGTAAAATCCTATCCATTCATTTTGATGACTGCGGCTCGTCTGGGCAACTCTGCTCCTTGAGCAGCCGAATTTCCTGTCTACTTGGCTCAAGGGGCTTAAGCCTGTCCCTTAGACTTCAACCGTACTTTCCATGCATTCCTTGGCTCTTGACGCATGGCTCCAATGATGCCAGTGCTGTTGCTGCTACTGCTGCCATTTGATGTGGCTCTTGGCTACCATGGCTATGAGGGGCCCGAGGATGCAAGCTCCGCAAGCCTGTTGGAGCTAGCTCGGCACCGAGGTCGCGAAAGGCCGGTGCGTCGAGAGTCGGTCGAAGAGTTTCCTGGGGAGCCAAAGAAGCACCGACCGCGTATTTGGTCGGAGACGCTCGCCGGAAGCTTCATTGTAGTCGAAGATCCTCAGCTGTTGCCATCAAGGAATCTCATGGTGGGCACAGCCACGCAACCTGTGAAGACCGAGGAGGAGAAGCACTGGACCGCAGTGTATGTTCTCATTGTTATGATCCTAGTCGCCATCAGTCCCATTGGTGTCAAAGAGGGTGTTCAACCGTTCTGCACTGTGGTCATGTACCTTGCCTGCCTCTCCCTGGTGAAGATGTTCGTTAAGGCCACCATGAACGCTGGCTTCGGCTACCCTGACTCCATAACTGCGGTGCACATGCTCTTCACCTCCATGGTCGCCTATCTCTTCGAGAAGCCTCGCTTGTCAGAGGCTTGGGTCGTGCTGCCCATTTCCGTTGTGAGTGGAGCTTCGCTTCTGACCAACAACACGGCCATGTTGTACGGAGGCGTAGCTTTTGTTACAATGGTTGCCTCCTGCACGCCCATGTTTACGTTCATGTTTGAGCTCGTCAAGAGGAGGCGCTCCCTCGACTTCCTCACGGCCTTCTCTGTGTTCCTGGTTTGCGCGGGAAGCGCTTTCTGTGTCCGCGGTGAGAAGGCGGCCTCCTTGCTCGCCCTAGTATTCGCCTCTGCCGGCTCTTTGTTGCGGGCCATGAAAAGTGTATGGCAGTATGAGCTCCTGAGCATTTCCGTGTCGCCTATGCGGTTGCTCTTCTGGAGTGGTTTTTGGTCATTCTTGATCACCGTAGCCATGGTCTTGGTCAACGAGAGGGCCGAGGCGCTGACGCACTTCCAACAAGCATCGCAGGAGGCAAAGATGTCCTTCCTGATGTCCATCTTCGCAGCGGTAGCTTTGAACATTTCCCAGGTCTACGCAGTGAAGCAGTTGGGTGCCCTGTTGCAGAGCATTGTGGGGAATCTCAATCTCATCTTGGTCATCGTCCTGTCCCAGACCTGGCTGCACGAGAGCGTGACTTTGTGGCAGTATGCTGGAGTGACGCTGTTGGCTGGTGGCACTTTCTGCAACAAGTACAGTGACATCCGCCGGAAAGCTGCGGAGCAGAAGCTAGGTGACAATTTAGGATGATTTCCAGTAATTTCCGATTATTTTCACAAAGGTAAATGTTCATAAACAAATTTTGGGGGCCTTTAACTCGCACAAACCCAGGAAGGCAAAGCTGAAGGACGAAGCCAAAGTAATGGAGGCACCGGAGACGGCGCCAGAGGCAACAAGCTCCTACGGTGCAGTGCAAGGGTCCGACTCCTGAGCCTGAAGTGAATGGTATAGCAATAATTATTCGTACTATTATTTCCATTACCATCATTGTTTGTCACTACTGTTGTTATTACTATAAGCTCCAGTTATGAGGGTCCCAGAAACCCTTGCAGCCTGCACAAGCTGGGTGAGAGAGGAAAACAGTCTTGAGCTTGCAGAGTTGTGGGGGCTTTGGGGTTCTACCTGCAATCCTGGAGGCGGTGGGACAATCAGGCTTGAACAGTCATGTTCAAAATCCGAGCCAAGGCTGATCAACCTTCTTTTCCCTAAGCCGATTGACTCTCACAGCATTTGGTTGTGTTCTTAGACAATGAGCGCTTCAGTATTTACCCACTACATATTGTGGCAGCTCATATCGAGGCTACGACAGCAGGACCCCCTCATCTTTGTTTGGTACTGTAACACCCCACTTGCTGACTAAACTTAAAGTTAGCACCCCAATATACATGTAACCTTGATGCAAGACGTCCTGTTGGATACTGCCCGTATCAGCCATGTAGAATCCTTAGTAGGGATCCTCATGATCGCTCTGTAGTCTGCATACGGTAGTTTCCCAACAGTAGCTTCCCCTCACATACCCCAATAAACCCATATACCATGACCGCCATAATCTCTACTACAGTGACCCTCGAAGTAGTTCCCCTAATTTTGGGAAATCCCCATAGATCTGTAGGATCCCCAAAAGAGGTCCCTCTTCTAAGAACAATACTAAACCAGATCCCCTAAACCTTGGGCCAGGTAACTGCCCTGGCTGCTGTACAGAAGTTGGGCGGCAAGGGCAACGTGGCTCGGCAAGACCAGGCTTCTGCGCTTTCCCGGCCGAAGGCTTCGACATGTTTAGGGTGGTGTGATATGAGCTTTAGTGTAAACTCCTAGTATCCCGCTCAATACCCCCTATATATAATCCCCTCAAAGGAGTTTAGACTATAGATTTTAATAGATTTTAGACCATATATATACATATATATAGATATAAATATATATATATATATGCTCACCCCCCCCCCCTCCCCACAGTGTTT